AGCCGCGGGATCCCCGCGTCAGTCGCCGCCGCCGCGGTTCCGAGCGGCCGGGCCCGCCCCCGGCGGAAATAGCCGAACGCATTCGGGCCGGGCGGGTGAAACGAGGCCGAGATAAAGAGTCTGGAGGCGGGTGGGAGGGGGAGAACGCCGAGAGTTTCCGGAAAGAACCGAACGTACTCCCGCGGGACTGACCGGCTGCAGGTTGCCACGAGACAGCCGAGCATTCCCGGAAAGAGCCGAGCGCAATCGGTTCGGGTGAACGAACCGAAGTTGGACCCAGCGGGACTCAAGAGACGACCGAATGATTCCGGAAATGGCCGAATATGCTCTACAAGGACTGGCGGGAGAGCCGAGGGCTGCTGAAAGGATCCGAAAGAGCTCTACCATAAATGGAGCCCCTGGGCGCGTTTAGACCCAGAGCTCGCCGAAGGTTCCGGAAATTGCCGGACCATAGACGGTTCCAGATACGTGGATTGAGGCTACCTTAGACGCAGGGAACAGGAGGGAACAGAAAAGGAAGGCGCCTGCCATGGAAATCTGCGCTTTTTAGGAAACAGCCGAAACAGCAGTGGTGAGGGCGGAGTTAAACGTGTTTCCGTGGCAACCCCGAGCGTCCCGAAACAGCCGAGAGATTGGGCGCCGCCAGTTCGAGAACGTGGCCCATTGGAACCCAGAGGCACTTTTGTTGCCGGACAGAGCGAGACGCTCCGGGTGGGGGCGTGGCCACGGGTGTTCGGACGGCGGCGAGCTCCGGAAGTAGCCGAGGGCGCTGGGGCTGAGCGCCTGTGGAGGCACAAATTGCAAGGCAAAGCCCCAGCCCAAACCGTGAGCAAAAGGACGCAAACGTGGTGTCCTTTGTTTATTAACGTAGCTCAGGGCTCCAGACTGGTGACTAGATGAAGTTTTTCTTTTTTTTTTTTTCTTGAGACAGCGTCTTGCAGTGGTTTAGGCTGGTTTCTAACTCCTGAGCTCCAGCCTCCTGGATAGCTGGGACTACGGGCGCGCCTGGTTTGAATAAAACTATGATAGGCAGAACTCGAGATGGGTACTGATAGGGCAAAGGCAGCTTCCAAGCTAGAGTTGTCGGGAGAATCAGCAACGGCGAACTCGTATGCAGCCTTCAAAATCCACATCCAATGCCCTTGAGCGCCGAGACTTTTCATCCCACTCCCACTACCCGTCTCACAAATCCAGACAATAGTCCTCTTTGTAAATGTGGGCTTTTATTCACTGCCAGCTCCAGGATGGAAGGAGGGGCAAGCCATGCACAGCCTCGTGTCACCCTGCAAGCCCAGGCGGGGATGGCCGGGGGCTCTGGGAGGGACGCAGGGTCTGGAGAGCTCCCTCACCGCGGTGGGCGGAACATCACGGGGAAGAGGCGGGGCCAAGGTGTGCACAACAACACCCCATTGGGTGGGGCCAGGTCCACGCCCACAGTGGGCGGGGCCAAAGGCTCCCCGCCGCACATCTCTTGCTGGGCGGTGGTGGGACCTGCGCTCCTGCCCCTCGCCGGGCCTCAGCTGCTTGGGCCGCAGAGGCGACAAGGACGCCGGCTCCGGCTTTCTCACTGCTGGCAGAGGGAGGAGCCCCGAGCGAAGCGCTGAGCACACACAACAGGCGCTTAATACATAATCGCTGGGATTAGTCTTGTAAACACGAGGACACTGAGGCACAGAGTGGGAAAGCCACTTTCCCAGAGCCACACAGTGAAGCTGAAATTCAAACCCGGGCCTCCTTGCCTGTGCAGCTGGGCTTCCTCACTGCACACTCGTCTCAGGGAGGCTGGACACAGGGGGATCTCCCTGGACACGTTATGGGTGGGACACTCTCCTCTCCCCACCCAGGGCATCTGTGCCTCAACGTGTAGGTTGGTGAACTCCTACTCTTCCATCAAAACCCCAGTTCCTATGCCTTTTCCCCAGGCTGAAGCCTGAAGCACTGGTGTCAGACTGTAGCAAGGACAGCAGCTGGGATAGTGGGATGTTGTCTTAGATTCCAGTCTCTTACGGTTTGGAGGGGAGGGACATCGTCTGCGGACTTTGCAAGTAAGTCACAGCCAAACTAGGCCCGGACGCAAAAGCTCGGTCTTGGGTCAGGAATGGGATCGGGTGCCGAGTGCACGCCATAACTTTAGAAAGACAGGGAGACTAGAACACACGCACACAGACGACCGGTCCAAAGTGCTTGCTTCTCAGCCCGGGCGGGTCTGCAAGGCCAGGGACCTAGTGGCCACCGGCAGGGCGGCTCAGCCCGGCTATTGCTTAGAAAAAGTAATAAATTAGTGGCGGAATTCGCTATTTACAACGCCGCCCGCCCCCAGCCCGCTGCGCCAGGGGCCTCTGTCCTCCTGGTGCCGCAGCCCCGCACTCCGCACCGGGAGCCGGTGGCCGCGGGC